AAAGGAAGGAAGACAAGGAAGGGAGGGAGGGAGAGAAGGAAAGGAAAGGAAAGGAAAGGAGGAAGGAAGGAGGGAGGGATCTGTTTTCTTTTTTTCTTTTATGTAGCTCTTTACTCTAGTGTTCAAATATTTTTAACTTTAAAAGTTAAAAATATTAACTTTTTAAAAAAGGCTTCAAGCAGAACTGAAGTCTAATTCAAAGGAAAAATTGAGGAAAATTGATCACTAGAAACCAGTTGATAGAGAGTTTTATGTTATTTGACAAGAATGGCACAGCATCATTAATTGCTTGGGATTGCCTCTTTATTTTACCACATTGTTACGCCTTTGGTCCTTGAAAAAAAAATTAATTAAAAAAAAAGCAACAATGAAGATGCGTAAAAATATTATCATAAAATTGAAAGCAACAAAATCAAGTTAGCAATGCAGCTGAAGCCAGAGACCAGAGAATGACACCCCAAGGAATTAAAAACAAAATAAAATTAAAGTTATCCCAACTCTTTGCTCAAAAGTGTGTGTGTGTGTGTGGGAATTCCGCAGCATTCCCAACAAAGGAGATCGTGGGATTCCCATCTCTGGGATTTAAGCCCCTTTCCCCTCAAAAGTACCTTCCTTCAGCATGCCCACGCGCAGGCACTTGGTGAAACGGCACGCCTGGCAGGCTTTCCGCCGACGTTTGGTGATTTCACACTCATTGGTGGCCGGACAGCTGTACTCAATGCTCCCTGCAGGACAGAGCAAAGCCAGGCATGTTAATCCACCATAGACAGTCCTCGGTTTCCAAAGGTTCATTTAGTGACCTTCGAAGTTGCAACAGCACTGAAAAAAGCGACTTAGGACTTAGCTTTTTTTAAATTGACTCTTTCAAAGGTGTGTAAATGTGGTTTACCTCTATGTGTCCGTTGATGGCTAGTTATTTTTTTAAATTATTTATTTAGTACAGGTAGTCCTTGACATACAACAGTTTATTTAGTGACCGTTCGAAGTTACAACGGCGTTGAAAAAAGCGACTTAGGACTTTTTTATATATATATATTGATTCTTTTGAAGGATGTGTAAATGTGGTTTACCTCTATGTGTCCGTCGATGGCTAGTTGTTTTTTAAATTATTTATTTAGTATAGGTAGTCCTCGACATAGAAGTTTGTTTAGTGACCGTTCAAAGTTACGACGACATTGAAAAAATCGACTTAAGACTTAGCTTTTTAAAAATTCATTCTTTTGAAAGGTGTGTAAATGTGGTTTACCTCTATGTGCCCGTAGATGGCTAGTGGCTAGTTTTTTTTTAAAAAAATATTTATTCAGTTGGGTCATGAAACATCTACTTTATCCTCGCTGTACAACAGTTTGTTTAGTGACCATTCAAAGTTACAATGGCACTGAAAAAAGGGACTTGTGTCTGTTTTTCACATTTATGACCGTTGCAGCATTCCCAGGGTCACAAGATTGAAATTCAGATGCTTGGTAACTGACTCGTATTTATGATGGTTGCAGAGTCCCAGGGTCAAGTGATCCCTTCTTGCGACCTTCTGACAAGCAATGGGGAAGCCAGATTCACTTAATAACCATGTTACTGATTCACTTAACAACTGGCCCAAGTATGGTTGCAAAATGGGACAAAACTCACTTCAATGACTCACTTGGCAACAGAAATTTGAGGCTTAATTGTGGGCCATAAGTTGAGGTCTACCTGTAGTTTGCTCAATCTGTCCTACGGGCTCAAAAGCAACATAAATTTAATTACTGAATAGGCTGACAACGGGATAAAGGCGCTGTAATTTGCCTGTGAGCATCTTAACTCTTTCACAACAGGGCAAATAAAGTTTTTCAGATAGCTTTTATTGTTCCTATTTTATAATCCCCGCTAGCACTATGGAACAACGCCCACTCAAAAAATCTGGTTTCTTCCAGGCTGACAAGTTTTAAAAGGAAGACTTTCTTTGGATCAATCACTTTTAACTCCTGGAATTTCCCCTCCCGGTTTGTGAAGCAACCAAATTTAGCATTGGAGAATTTTTGAAACATTCCCAGTTATTTGTCATCATTGGGCAGAGAGAGGTAGTAAAGCTAGCAAAGAACGTGGGTTTACAGCCAGGCTGTGCAAACCTAAAGTTATTTAATGCCTTCGTACTCAGAGATCATGTTTCAATAAAAGGAACAGATTTGCATTCGATTTCTTCTTTGGGTTTCTAAGAATCAAGGGAATTTTAAGAGGTTTCCAGGTTTGGTTTGGCTTTCTAAACGTGAAGATGAAAATTCAAGGGACGCCCTAAAGGAGGCAGCCCTCCCTGTTCCTTGTTTCCCATTTATTTCTGATGTTTGTATCTACAGAAATTAAGGACTTCGTTGTAGGTATGTGAGTAACGTTTAGTAATACCATTTGAAATACACAGAGAGTCCTCAGCTTACAATGGTCTGTTTACAACTGTTGTAAGCCAAGGACTACGGCAGGAAGAGGCTCCCTTACACATTAAATAACAGTTTTTTTCATAGACTCATAGGGCTAGAATGAGACCTTAAGAGGTCTTCTAATCCAACCCCTTCCCTAAGCAGAAGCCCCGATTCCATCCCAGACAAATGGTTGTCTTGAGGTGCTTCATCCATGGAGGTTTTTCAAGGAGAGATGGGACACCTACTTCTTTGAAATGAGACAGGGCAGGGGGGTGGACTAGAAGGCCTCTGAGGTCCCTTCTGCCTCTATTCTGATTGATTCATCTCCCTTTAATGACCCCATAATCCCTTATGGGGTGGAGTCTGGGCCACTGAATGGAGCGGAGTGTTTGAATGGCCGGATGCCCTTCCCTGTCACCAGTGCCGAGTTTTGTTCAGCAAACAATATTCTCCTCAGGCCCAGAGAGAGAGAGAGAGAGAGAGAAATATCTGCCTCTACTTAGGATCGAATTCACAGCCTCCTGATGGTGAGGCGAGAGCTCACCTTCTAGGCCACTGCACTGCTCTCTATTCTAGACTAGAGGACCTCCAAGGCCCCTTCCGGGGCCATTCCTGATCGATTGATCGGTTGCTAATCTTCCCTTTCCGAGGAGAATTTCTGGCGGGTGAAAGGAAGGAACGAAGGAGGTAGGGCCTTTAAGCCTAGAGCCAAGAAAAGGGAAGGACTGACCTTGGATCGTTCGCTTGAAGAATGCTTTGCAGGCTTCGCAGGAAGCCACCCCGTAGTGGTAGCCCGAGGCGATGTCCCCACAGACCAAGCACAGCCGCTTGGGCATCGTGTTCAGCATGTATTTCCCCCGGCCGGGAGCTTCATCGGGGTCGTCGTCGTGACGTCGGCGGGAAGCTCCCGTGCCGGCTGGTAAGGTGCTAGCGGTCTCGAGTTCAGCAGGAGCCCCGCTGGTGCTGGTGTCGGAAGACCCACTGGGGCTGTGTTGGACCAGGCTGTCGGGTGAAGCCGGCTCGGTTTTGATGAAGAATTCCGTCCGACGTTCCCGGGAGGACATGGCTGGAGAGAGCGCTCTGTAGGAAGGGACGATAAGACCAGGGTACAGTCAGAAGGGGGTGGGGGGAGTAAAGGGGCTATTTGCACCACTTGTTTAGCTGGTCAGGGTTGAGATGAGGGTCCTTGGTGGTGGCGGTGGGGCGGAGGAGGTGGAAGATGAGGAGGAAGACGACTGTGGGGTCCTTGGTGGTCTCTGATCTTGGTGGTTTTTCTTGCAGACATTTCATGACCCAACTAAATTACATCATCAGTGCTAGAAGGGAGTGGAGATTGCAGGGAGGAGGAGGAGGAGGAGGAGGAGGAGGAGGAGGAGGAGGAGGAGGAGGAGGAGGAGGAGGACTGTAGAGTCTTTCATGATCTGAGCTTGGTTGTTTCCTTACAAACGTTTCATTACCAAGCTAGGTAACATTATCAGTGCTATTAAGGAGTGGGGTTTGCTTCACCCAGGTTAAAGGCCAAGTTGCACTCACAAGACCCACCCAGTTTGGTCTGTTCATTCATTTTTTGTCTTGGGGGGTGGGGAAGCCAGCTGGATTGAGTACCTCATCTCAGACCCTTCTCTTGTGCGAACCCCAAAACCCCAAGTTTAGTAACGCCACCAGCCAACTTGATAACGTCACCTCCCCCCCTCCCAGTTCCTTGTCTTATGTGAATGCAGGAACCCTCAAACCCTTTGCGGTTTTACGACCGCAACTGAGCCCACATTTTTTTTCTTTTCGTTGCTAAGTGAGACTGCTAAGGGCATTTTGCCCCCCCCCCTTGCTACAGCCGTTAAGTGAACCACTGCAGTTGTTGAGTTAGCCACCCGTTGTTAAGCAGATCCGGCAGAATCTGTCAGAAGGTCGTAAAAAGGGATCCCGTTAACCTCCGGGACACGGCAAACCGTCATAAATATGAGTCGGTTGCCAAGTGTCCGAATTTTGATCACATGACCATAAAGGGGGGGGGGGGTAGGAGAAGACGGTCGTAAGCCTGAGAAATGGCCATAAGTTTCCCTTTTTCCTGTGCCATTGTAACCTCAAACAGACGCTGAACGGAGGGTTATAAAGTTAATAACGCAATAATAACGTAACCTGTTATTAATCTTAATTCCCCAGTTGGAAACATACATCTATACCACCAGATGAACTGATTATCCAAAAAATAATGTCTTGTGCCGAGATGGATAAATTAACTCTGATGTTACAAGAAAAGGAGGAGTCTGAATATTATAGGATTTGGGAAAAATGGTATGACTGGATTGAGCTAAGATTAGATAGATAGATGATAGATAGATAGATGATAGATAGATAGATAGATAGATAGATAGATAGATAGATAGATAGATGATAGATAGATAGATAGATAGATATAGATGATAAAGAGAGAGAGAGAAACAGAGAGAGAGACAGAGAGATAAGAGATAAGAGATAGAGATGAGAGACTAGAGATAGATAGAAAAAGATAGATATGGATGATATAGATACAGAGAGAGAGATGATAGAGACTAGATAGAGATAGATAGATGATATAGATGATTGATGATATAGATAGATAGATAGAGATAGATAGACATATATATACTATATAACTGGATGATGAAAAAATTAATGATATGCAACATATAGGTGAAATGCTTACATTCGCATAAACTGCATATATTTGTAAATAATGCACAAAGTAAGAGTATAAGATGAATGCCACAAACCGTTAACGTGAAAATATTTACACTTTTTGTTTGTTTTTAAAGTCATAAAAGATTAATAACGTTTATTTTTTTTTAAAAAAAAAATCTTAATTCCCCAAATTGTGTACCTTATTGATTGGGAAGAGGCGGGGGCATATTTCGAGGTCCAAATTCAAGGGTAAAAATGGAGGGGGGGGGGGGAGAGGTGAAGTCCTGCAAAACCAGGGTGACGGGCACAGCAACCTTGCAAAAAAAAGGAAAAAAAAATCCAACCCATTCCCCCCAAAAATCCTTCTGATAATTAAACCAACCGAGAAGCCGTCCTTCAAAAATTAGCCGTGACTTTAATTTTGCCAGGTTTTCAGACGCAACACAGCCTCTGCGGTTGAGGAGGGGGGGGGGGAAGAGGAAGGGGGGGGCGGGGGGGGTGAGCTGGAACGAGCCCCCCCCTCCATTCCCCCATCTTTCCAGCTGACTTCTGTGCCCCTCCGTTCAAGCTAATCGGACCCTGAATCTGGAGATCCCGGCACCCAGCCAGGAGAAGGAAGCGGTTTCAAGGTCACTCCAGGGAGATCCTATCAGGCATGGCGTGGAGAGGGAGGGGGGAGGCAGGAATGGAAGCAGACTAGGTCATCTCGGGTGCCCCCTCCTCTTCTAGCATTCCTCCCAACTTCCAGGGATGCAGCCCCCTCCTCCTGAAGATTTAGGGATTCAATCTATCCCAGGCTAGGGTGAAAATCTGCCTTCTTTCTCTTTTTCTTTCTTCCTTTCTTTTCTTCTCTCTTTCCTCCCTCCTTCCCTCTCCCCTCCTCCCTCTTTTTCTTTCTTCCCTCTCTCTCTTTCATCCCTCCCTCTTTCTTTACTCCTTCTCTCTCTTTCCTCCCTTCTTCCCTCCCTCCCTTTTTCTTTCTTCTTTCCTTCTTTTTTCTTTCTTC